CATTTATAGACTTCGACGTGGTAACTTTTGCGATATAAGGGGAATCTTTAATGACATATGACATGGTGTGAGATAAGTATCCGCCTATGGAGCGAAAAGTTTACAAGAACTGGAGTGCACTTGTTGCTTTATATCGTTGCTATCAGATTTATCACATTGTTATTCAATATAGACCCTAATGAACTGCTAAGAAAACTTTATTATTTCATTGATTTCTTATCCTCAATTTGTGAGCATAAGCTTAAAGTAGCACAGCACACAATGAGAAATCTCAGACTAAATGGTGCTTTCACTTACTTTATTTGTCTACTTTAGGGAATCAAGATGTAACTTGCGTTATGAATATCAGCTGGAAGTCTTGTTAAGTCCAGAAAAACAACACTAAGCAATAATTCTGTTGCAAAAAGCTCCTTTAAAGTTGACAGTACGTTGAGCTCCATCCAGGTATTGATTGTAGCAGTCAATAGTCATCACTCATACCTCACCGCCTCGTATCGATTTGCATCTTTATGTAATGAATGAGGTGTGACTTGAATGATCACAGTGGATCCACATTTTAAAAAAATGTTTCAAACATGTTAATTTTCTAAATGTTTCACAGAGCTGACATTTTTTACAAGATAGTTTAATCTATAACCTTTTTTTTTCTCTGTCATCTTGTTAAGACAATATCATACATCCAGACATTTTGGAAGAACATGGATGACATACCTTCCTTCATATAACAATCAATCAAACTCATGTGTTGTATACTTGTCTCTTAAGCTTTAAAAATAAATCTGAGTTCCTCTTGCTTCTGAATTTGAGCGGGGAGGCAGTGGGATTGAAGTGCTTCACTTATATGTCTATATGTGATAACATCTAAAATCACTTTGGAAATGGAGGACAGTGCAGCAATATGTGAAAAACCAAAAGTATACTTCTCTTTGTTGACCATGGGACAGATAACTAATCGTTGATAATGTTAGGCTTACAGGATTTAGGGTTTAGTCAAGATGACGCTGCAGAAACATTGCCAATGTATTTGTGCAATCTAGACAGTCACCGCCTCTGCTGTCAGTCTGTTTGTAAGAGACGTTGCACCAAAGACGACTTTAACTGTTCTGCTCCTGAATGCTCTGTACTAGTCTCGTTATTATTAACATGTTTGCACACTGCTAGTAAAAGTTTCACCTCATGGAAAGTTACCTACTAGTTCCATAATAACCTATTTTATCATTTTTATTTAAGCATCTTTTGCACCCCTCACCACGGTAATTTTGTCCGACTGTCTAAATGTTTTTATAGGCTATTTTATTATATTGATATTTGTAGGCTTGTGTGTGACATAATGTTTGTGCATGGAGACAGCATTGATCATATTTCTTGTATACCCGGAATATGAAGCTGGTTCCAGTGATTTATGCTTTGCGTGCTATTACACATCTGCAAGATAATTATGAGGTAAGATTTTCATGAGAACATGGGGCCGTTAGTGGTTAGCTAAAGTCCATACTGCAATGACTCCATCCAGACGAATGGGGATCAGGATGTGGGGTTTGTTGCTGATGAGGTAAACTCACTGTCTGTCCGACTGGGGGCGGCGTTGGATAGCCACTTTCTACTATCATCCCAACACGCAGCTCAGAGTCCTCTCACCCCCAAACACCCCCCCCCCCTCACTTGTGAGATCAGCAATTCAGATCTTATGCAAATCCGAAAGAATCAGTGTGTGTGTGTGTGTGTGTGTGTGTGTGTGTGTGTGTGTGTGTGTGTGTGTGTGTGCACGACAGAGGAAAAGAGAGGGGGACAGAGAAGTGCAGTTGCATTCCTGGAGAGAGAGATCCCTGCCCCTTCCTCCTCCTTCCTCCCTCTCTCTCTCTTCCAACCTGCTCTCCCAGCCGGCGGCGGCAGAGAGGGATTTTCTAACCCGGGCTGCAGATGCAGGGAGCAGGGCTGCAGAGTGAAACAGACACTGGTAGTCCGTAGGGAAGTTGTGGAAAGGAGGCTCGGCGCAACATTTTAAACGCATTCGAAATAGTTTTGGAGTGTGTTTATCGGACTCTCCGGGCGGTAACATTTTCTTTTTTTTAGGAAAGTTTACTTTTTTGGGGGGTTCCTACATCCGTGTGGTGAACATGGGCTCCGTGCGCACACTCCCGGCCGGCCGGTCAGCGCTTCTTCTGGCGGGGCTGCTTGTAGCTCTGTGGCAGCTCTGCGGAGCAAGTTGTCCGGAGAAAGACTTGGAGGACCGGGAAGAGGAGGCCAACGTAGTTTTGACCGGCACTGTGGACGAAATCACTAACATGGACCCGGTGCACAATACCTACTCGTGCAAGGTAAGTGTTCTCATGTGGGGTTTGAAACGATAATGCATTAGGGGGGGGGGGGGGGGAAGCACCTGCTTCTTGCACGGAAACAACCAGACCCCAGACTATAAGAAGTCTCATCATTTTTAAACCTCTACCCTCGTGCAGCAGATGGAGGCCATTACCACCGAGTTTGTTTTCCAACAGCTTGCCTGCAAAACATTTTACAAACTCATTCATCCAGAAGCATTTGGCAGCGTTTACACGGACACTGACAGAAGATCCACTTTCCCTTCAGGAATAGATAGATGGTGTTTTTTTATTTCCACTTACCAATTACATAGCTACTAGGGAGGCCTTTCACCGACCATGTAATCATCCCAAACATGCTGCAACCAGGAGCCTGGCCCCTCACCGGCCCCTGGCTGCAGCTCTCACTCATTTCCAATCAGAAATGTTGCAGACATGAAGCCTAATTTGCCTGTGGCTATAAAGACGATCTCTTGAGTCATGATTTATTCTGTGGTGTTGCTGACATTTGCCACCACATATATCTTAAACTAGAGAAGTGTGGCTTGTGGCTATGACTTTAATGTCCCTTTGGATAAAAAAAAAAAGTGCATAACATGTAATAAGATCAATTAGACTAACCACTGACTTAGAGCACAACAGTACTGTGATTTGTTGGCAATTGTTTAGAGTGTAAGAGGCAGTATGGATATCTATTTTCTTAAAAAGTGCTGCAATCAAGTTGTGTATTCTTGCTTTAGTAGCATGTGAATCCGGCTGCCATAGACCTGAAAGTCTAAATTTCACCCTTTTTTGTCAAATGTCCCATTTATATTTATATCACTGACTTCTGCACCACTTTGTAAAAACCAATAAGTTCCACAAACGAGCACATTTTCAGTCAGGAAGTGCCCTTCCTCCATCCTCAACCCAGGGCCATTCATCGTGAGACAAACATTTTGCACCATCCTGGACTTGTGGTGCACCGCTCTATAATCTGTCAAAATAAACAAGTTGTGTTTGGTCAGCTCTCTTCACTGCTCGTTTCGTCAGCGCCCACTTGCTTCCCGTCTCCCCAGGGTGAATGAGTGGAGTAGATTAGAGGCACATGAGCTCTCACTCTGGGGAAAAAAAAAAGAAAAGAAACCATCACCGAGTGTTGAAATGAAACAGAAGCACAGCCATGAAACGGAAGAGAAGAGCTTCAGCATGACTTACTGGGCATAAAGCTGCTTTTTTTACGACACTTCCTGGGATGCACTTTCTGTGGGTTCATGCAGGTTTGAAGTACATACAAATGACTCGTTATTGGATCTATTTGTTTCTTCTCTGAAAGATATATTCTACTAAAAATACCTATACTTGTGAGGAATGATTGGTTGCAAAAGTAAAAACATAAAACAGTAAAGTTAGAGAATCACAAACCTGTCATCAGAATCAGGTTCATTGGTGAAATATGTTCAGACGTGCTAGGAATTTGACAACATTGTCATTGTCTCAAAACCAGAATGAGCCACGGTAAAACATGGAGGGAGAGCGTTAAGGATGGGTAGAAAGAGATTAAAAAAAAACACCTGTGAGGCTACAATAATCGTCGCTTTTCTTCTAATTTTAATAAATATAATGTGGATTAATGTGTTTTCTGTGTATGTGGACTCATGTCACGATGAAGATGCCCACATTCTTGGACTGTTCTCCCAGACATTAATGCCAGTACTGTGGCTCTGACAAGTGACTATATTTTGCAATTGTACCTGACGACAGGACATTTTGTTGTAGTTGTTAAAAACTAAATGGTATTCTGGGAAGAGGAGACCTGAAGACAGATCTGAGGAAGACACAGTCCCCAAATCTCTAGTCCGGTTCATCCTTACTGTATGCATGAGGATGCATTCTTTTCACTTCCACAAAGTGCTGAAACATGTGCTCTCTTTCTGTCTCTTCGTTGGCAAAAGGTCAGAGTGTGGCGCTACCTAAAAGGAAAGTCCAACGTCAACAGAGAAATCCTCCTGGCCGGCGGAAACAAGTTGATGATCGGCGGCTTCGGCAACCCCGGGATCTGTGACAACCACGTGTCCACGGGGGACACCCGCATTTTCTTTCTCAACCCTGCGTCGAAATCCATGGGCCCTGAACACAAGAACGAACTTATGCTCAACTCCAGTCTGATGAGGATTACTCTGCGCAACCTGGAGGACGTGGAGCACTGCGTGGAAGGTAAGCAGCGAGGTTTTAAGATGGAACAACCGGCAAATGTTGATGTCAGTAGGAGACAATTTGTGAATTATCAGACCTGAGAAATGCTATTGAAGAAGCTAATGTGCTGTGTCTTCTGTCAATATTCTGTCTTACCTGTGAGAAATCGGTGTAGGATCCACGCTGTGGTATGAACGCTTATCGTGTTTGTGAATCACTTAAAGCAGGGAGGATTTCATTCACCGCTGGCAGCTGAAATTACACAGCCTCGGGCTCACAGCGTCAAAGTTTCCTTTGACAGGGACACCTGAGTCATTTTAAGAGCTTTGTTGCCATGGTGACTCTCTAGCTTTTCCAGGTATACATAGCCTGAAGGTGGAGGTGGGCGTGCCCAATAACACTGTAAGGACTCAGATTGAGTAGTTAAGGGATGATTCCCGACCTTTGCACCTTGTAGCCGGGCCTTTTTATTAAGTCAGAGGTCAAACAGTTCAACCCTTACACGCTCATAACACAACCTGGGAGTTTACAGGGCAACACAGGTTCCCACACGTTTTTTTTTTTTTACAACTCACTCACTCAGATTCTGTTAACGTCATCGTTAGAGTATCACAAATAAACCTGGGCAAGACTTGCAAGAGTAGAAACAGGCAATTAATGGATGAGTCAAACTTTCTCACTCACTTTTAAAATGCTTTCAAGTGAATTTATGGAGGGAAAATGTGATCATTGTTTTTTATTCTTCACGTTTTTTGTTCAAGGACTTGAGCATTTAAAGGGTTTATGAAACGCTATTATTTTCCAGAGTCCTTTTTTGGCTGAGAAGTCATTTGTCAGGCTCTTATGAGACGAACCATACAGCCATGACTAATAAATCTCAGAATCCACCGTGACTGTGAGAGTGTAGCAGCCTGTGCCCCCATGCCAGTGAACAGTGAGCTTGCTGCTGTTTAACTTTGAACTGGTGCTTGACTATGTTGTTGGCAGCTGTTCAAAGTTTCAATCTAACACACTCAGAGCGAGCGGGAGCACCGGGGGGAAATGAATCAGAGCACGAATCACCTTGCTGTTGCGGAGTCGCAGAGTCTGTGTTCTGGGTACTTTCCCCTGAACAGTTCTGGGTGGCAGGATGTTCCATTGGATGGAGCTTGTTTGCAGTGTTAAGTTGCATTTGGCACACACATAAAACTTTCTTCTGTTTGTCTGTCCAGGCACGAAACACTGCACTGCTAACCTTTTTATTCAGCTGCCTTTTCTTCCTCCAGGACTCCTCTTGTGGAGAGGGGAGTTTTCTTGGCTCTGACAAACTGTCTAGAATGTGCCCTTTTTGTTTGCCGGGCTTTGTGTTTGAAGAGGGGTTTACTTCACACAACCTGATTTTTCTCATCCCACCTTACAGTTTGAAGGAGTACAGTTAGAAAATGCAGCAAGGAGTCGTGAGGAAAAACACAGAAAAAGTCTGACATAAGACGAGAGCTGGAACGGTTTATCCAGAAAAGAATCAGTTTTGATAATCAAGGATTCTTTTTGGTGTCAAACGTTTTCTGTTTTCAGCTGTTTTAAACGTAAGGATCTTATTTTTGTCTCATATTTTAACTGTGGATTTGAAAAAGAAGCTACTGGAAGATGTCACTTTGGGTTCTCGGAGATGAGCTTTTATCACAACTTTCTGACATTTTAAAACTTCATAATTAATAGCTTAATCATAACATTCCTTTTGTTGCAACACATAACATATAAGACATCTGAAAGAATTTTCCGAGGAAGGCTTTTGAACTGATGGTTATATATACCAAATAATATCCTGGGACTATTGTCATGTTCGGCTCCACCGTATAATCCGTTTGTTTTTTCGGGGAGTGAAATTGGCCCTGATAATTAGCTGGCATACCTCCATCCAGTAAAGAGAGCGAGCTTTGAGGCTTGTTCAAGTGCAGAGTTTTAATTAAGAGAGTCAAGTCCGATCCCGTCCGCTCTGTGCAACCACTAACACCCCCCCCCCAAGACTGTGGGATGTGAGTGCAGCGGGACAAGACTCTACCTGCTGCAGTACTCTGTACCCTCCCCTGCTCTCTCCTCATTCTTGACATTTTCGATAGCTAGGATAGACTCAGGAATGCCTGGCAGTGAGCGAGGTGGGGAGGCATATTGTCTGAGGTGGAAGAAAAAAGGCTTTGTGCGAGCTCCTTGCCACCTAGAGTTTAGAGAGGGAGACAGGCATGAAGGAAAAATCCGATGAGTGATGAAGAATGAAGAGGTAAAACTGAGGAATTTTGTCTTGTCTTTGTCTTGACTCGTGACATGAGGGATGTTGTGTTTGCTGCATATTTGTAACTTTGGATCAGTGCCATCATGCCATGTGAAGATAGATCCCTCCAGACTTTGTGTTTCACACTATTTTTTTACTCCCATGCTCTCCCCACAGGTCAGTGGCACTTCAGGGCCACTCGGTCCATGTGTGCAATCACTTAGCTGCAAGCTTTCATCTGCCACAGAGCTGCCCTCCCCGGAGGAGTGTTTACAAGACCTCAGTAAACACTTGCTGTGCTCTTAAAATGCTCTAAGCAATATTTATAAAGGATGCCCACTTGATCCCTTATCTTAACCTAATAACACCTTACAGGCATGTATGTGTGTGAGGATGGAAATAAGAACGCTTAGTGGTACTCCTCATCTTAAAGTGCTGCACATCTACAACAAGGCGAGATGGCAAAGTTGTATAATCACAAGATACTGCCAGAGTTAAACTGAAGAGTACATTTTATCTTCATGAGCTTTCTACTAAAGCTCATTCTTTTTGTGAGAACGGCAGCTTTCCAGTGATAAACTCTGTGTTTCTACGACAGGAGTGAAGGGGCTTGTTTCCTTTTCGACGGCTTCAGGGCCCCTGAGCTGAGCTGCAGCAGAATAGAGCTCAGCTAGTTTTTTGTGTTTCTTTGAGACCTGCACTGACTTAAATAGCTCCTGTGGCTGTGTAAAAAAGTAAACGCTGATGATCTCACAAGTGACATTGACATGAATTGTACAGTAAAGGCTGGCACACACCAAACTGACAACAAAGAACAAGCTAGCATATGTATACAAATAGCAGGGTTTGTAAACTCGTTGATCATTTTTCTGATGAAGGCGTTCGTAATTGCTTTGACTTCAAACAGTGTCTGAAGATAAGGAGATTGTACTGGCGTTACATGAGAAGAGACTTCCTCTTGACTTGTTTGTTTTCCTTCATCACGTTCATGTCTCTTCTCGTGCCCTGAGTCGCTGACTGAGAACCAGTCAGAGTGATTTCTCTCCCTGACTCATTGCCGCCGATTCTACTGGTTGAATCAGGCGAAAAGCCTCCGACAAGCCCTGAGCATTTCCACCGCTGCTGTTCACACCACAGTGACCATAACCACAGAGTCTTTCTGAAAGCCCTGACGAGCCCCGACCCCGATGTTTGGCTCGGTGTTTACCTACCTTAAACAGTTGTCGCCTGTAGTTGCTTCAATGTTGGGCATGCAAGCAAAAAACTGAAGCCCTTGTGTTAAATTCACTATGTGTCAGCTCTTCGATCTATCCCTATCAACTGAACGTTTTTTTGATTAATTTTAATTTCGTCATGATCCGATATTACAATTTTTTTAATCCACTGACATGCTTTGTTGAATTTGCACCATGACAGGGCCCTTGTTACAGAATCTGTTTCTTTGTTTGGTCCTTCAGCTACCATGCACTAAAATGTCACTGTAGTCATGTGCTGTGCAGAGCTGTCAGATAATAAGTTAGAAACAGAGACATTTAGAGACAAGTGAACTACCGTAATTGACACAAAAGGATTCCTTGTTCTCCAGATTTTAGGTAAGAAGACTGAAAGTATGTGTTGTGTATCTTATCTTTCCCATTTTTTTCCATTGCTGCTTTAATGACAACACGGGAGAGAAGGCGGAGGTGTTTGGGGGTTTTGGAAGAGAGGAAGCCTTCTTGATTGAGAAGTGTTGAGAGTACAGGGAGATCATATCTGTCTGCTGTGTTTATCAGCTGCTTTTGTTTCAGCTCTTGATGACTCGATGCCAGAGTCTTTCCCTCAAGGCCCTGATGAAGCACAGCAACAAAGGGCTGTTTATTCCCTTCTGTCTTGATCTCTTCCTCTCTCTCTCTCTCTCTCTCTCTCTCTTTTTTTAAACTGTCTCTTCTATAGAAGAGGAGAGATGAGCCAGTCAGAAGTCGGTGCACAGTCATGCAACAGCTGCATCAGAGATCATTTCTTTGTGCCTTTGTGCTGCATCTGTTTAATACTGAGTATAGCTAGTGTTGTGCTTCACTGGCCGGACAATCAAAAGTCCTTGTGGGATGTTAATGAGCAGCGTTTTACTGCTCAACATACCACTGGCTCAGGCCCTTTATGATATGTGTACAGCAGTCCAGAGGCTCACTGGTAATGGGGTTAGCCAGGCTTGCTGAGAACATGATGGGGGTCCTGATTTGCCAGCAGGTGGTCTTGCTTAATGATGGGAGAGCAGACAGTCCTGTGGAATGCTTCTCGGGGTGGGTGGGATGTGGGTTGACTGTTTCAGCCCCCCCCCCTCCTCCTCCTTCAGTGCTCCTTCAGTGCTCCTTCAGAGAATAAGCAGAGGCCTCACGGAAAACGTTGAGCTTTTTTTCCCCACTGTTTGTGCAAGGAGGCGGCCTGGAGTTGCCTGGAATTCCTCACCTGTACAAGCTCCTACCTGGCTGCCCCTCCCTCCTCAGCTTTTTGATATGAGAGGAGATAATGACTGAATGATAAGAGCATAGTGGAGGGGGCGGCTTCGATTTTATCCATCTTCTTGCAATTTTTCAGCACGAGTTCCAATGATTCAGCGGGTCATGACTCCCTTGTTTAGACAACAAGAAAGTCAAACTGAAACACGCAGCGGTCTCTTTACAACCTCAGTTAATCAGTGACTGAAAGGGAGAAGATAGTCAGCTGAGGTTGAGAGCTTTTTGATTCATCAGTCCAGAGATCAGAGTAAGCTAGTCAGTATACTCATCCCATAACC